AAATTTATTAACAAGGTCATGAACTGCATTGTGCTGTGGAACGGGCATATCTGAAAATTTATCAAAACGCTGTTACACCAAATATGTGTATCTACCACCTTCTTGAAATACACATTTTTCAGTTGTTAAAACCATATTAGGTGAAATCTGAAATAAAAAAAAAATGATTAGAAAAGGGCACAGTAACATTCCGAACACTCTGGATTTATAATATCGATATAATGTAAAATGAATTCCTGACTTTTATAGAGTTATTGAAAACCTAACCGTATGAAATTTGAAATTGTGTTTGCATCATTGACATCTTCATATGAAAACATTTGTTTTTTTATATTACAAAAAGATTTATAAATTTAGAACAAAATAGTATATGTTTTATGTGTTTTTACTTTAAGAAAATATTTTAAACTAGCAACTGTTTGATAGAATTTTTGTTTTTCCACACTTTTTTTTATAGAAAGATTTTTGGTCATTAAAGTATACAAATGTATACATTTTTAAAATAAAGAATAAAAAATTATATAAATTAGTATAAAAAATATTCAGATATCAATGATGTAAACAAATTATCAAGGCACAACATTTGTAAATAAAAACTAAGAGCAGATAACTCTGTAAAAGTCAGGGATCGATTTGACACTGTATTGATATTATAAACAGAACCCTGTTTCTAAATTGGTTAACAAGTTAAATGCATGTGAAACAGGATTGATCAATGAGAATCAAACAACACAAAAGTCAAAATACCAGAATTTCTTTCTTTCTTTTTCTCCATATCTCATTCTCTGATGAAGCTTTAATAAAAGTGAAACCTGTTAGATTGATAAATGTCTCCCATTTGTTTTCCAGCGTTGGGAATTTAAACACCCACAGCCATTCTTACGTACGAGAGAATTTTTATGGCAAGAAGGCCATACTGCATTTGCCACTTACAAAGAAGCTGAAGAAGAAGTGAGTTTTTTTTGTTTTTTAAATATTTCTTAAACATTCCAAATAATTTATATATATATATATATATATATATAAAAAGGAATATAAGAAAAGAACTCTAAACCTCCCTTTTTTTTTTCTTCAGGTTTACACTATTTTGGAGTTGTATGCTCGTGTCTACGAAGAATTATTAGCTATACCTGTTGTCAGAGGCAGAAAAACTGAGAAGGAAAAATTTGCAGGTGGAGACTTTACAACAACAGTTGAGGCTTATATATCTGCCAGTGGCCGTGCTATTCAAGTAAGTCTGATTTTTATGTTATGTGTGTGCGTGTTGTAACCTAGGAAAGGTTACTGAATAGAATAATCACATGAAGGTTGGTAATGAATGATAATACTTAGGACAAAAACAACACATATAAGATTCACCTTCAGTGTGTAGAAGTAGTAGTCAACTGCTAGAAGTGAGTCAAATGAATTCCACAATGAATCTCCAGATGCCAACCAACATACAGTATTTACTACTGTATTTATGTGAATGGGGAACTACCCATTATCGTTCATAAGTATGCTACAATAGGAAACTCAATAAGAAAGCAGAAATAAATTGTATGTTGCATCTTGTCCTTTAGAACTTCATCAGACTGAAGTGATTACATTGATGTGACTACACTACAACATTGAATTTATCACTTTTATTATTAAATATCCTACATTATAATATAAGAAATTTTAAGAAAGTTGAAATGTTTGTAAGAACCAGGACACAAATTTACTTTTGCTGACCTAGTGATTAATGCACTTTCTATACATTTTTTAAATAAATTACTCTCTTTTAACCTTTAAATCTCTTCAGGCATACATGTCTGTCAGCGATAATCTTTCTCAATATTCTCCAGGTGGAGTTTGCTGAGTGACAGTGCTTTGTTTCAAAGGGAAAGTACATTTCTAAAAATAACCAATTTCTACAGAAATGACATCATTAAGTTTGTGATATGAACTGGAAATGACTGAATGTCAGTCATTTTGTCCTAATTGAAGTAATTATTTTATCAGTGAATTTTAAAATGTTTTAAAACATTCGTTTTTTGATCACAATGGCGACCCCCAGAGATAGGCATGGATCTGTTATGTCGATAGTGGAACTTTTCATGGACAGTGAGAGCGATGAAGAAGAATTTCTAGGATTTACCCGTGCAGATATTGGTGATGTGTGTGACTGAAAGTGATACTGATCAAAAAGTTGGAATTTTCAAACCATTACAAGCATATGATCACCCTGTGGCTACCAGAGTTTCACGCTCACCCTGTGGCTACCAGAGTTTCACGCTCACCCTGTGGCTACCAGAGTTTCACGCTCACCCTGTGGCTACCAGAGTTTCACGCTCACCCTGTGGCTACCAGAGTTTCACGCTCACCCTGTGGCTACCAGTTTCACGCTCACCCTGTGGCTACCAGAGTTTCACGCTCACCCTGTGGCTACCAGACCCTTTCACCAGGTTCACCTCACCCTGTGGCTACCAGAGTTTCACGCTCATCCTGTGGCTACCAGAGTTTCACGCTCACCCTGTGGCTACCAGAGTTTCATGATATAAATGTGAATCAAGCTTAACATCATTAATCGTTTTTCATCTTTCTTTTTTTATCTGACATAATTATTTAATTAATGGTGGTGGAAACTAACCAGTATGCAAATGATGCGAAAACAAAATTAAGTGACACAGCCAAAGCCCAACTCACAAATCAGTGCTTGGAAAAGTGTCGAGGAGGATTGAGAAATATTTTGTCCTTAATCACATGTTTATGCATGTTGCGGGGGTTCTACTAAACGTGACTTTGTGATGCATTCTGTCTGAAGGGCTTGCACATAGATATCTATTTTTTTTTTTTTTGTTCTTTGGATGATCGTTGGACTGACCATAGCAAATTTCTTAAGAAGGAATAAACCTTCAACTTTGATTTCATCTTTGGACATTTAAGGCGGCTTCAATAAAATTAGTTCCAATAATTGATGTGAATTAACTTCATCTTTTGTCTTTTTATTTTTTAGTAACCGTTTCACAGCCTACTTTCATTTTTTTTCCAGGGAGGCACTGCCCATCATTTGGGACAAAATTTCTCCAAAATGTTGGACATTGCATATGAAGATCCTGACACCCAGGAAAAGAAACTTGTCTATCAGAATTCTTGGGGCTTGACAACTCGAACAATTGGTGTTGTGTGTATGATTCATGGAGACAATGTAGGTTTGGTGTTACCGCCAAGAATTGCTTCTTATCAGGTTAGTTTCAAATCTCATTCCCTCTTTTTCTTTTCATTCATATACATATATATATATATATATATACACACACACACAATAAAATCCAAAATCACATCATGAGGTGATTTTAAATTTTATTGTGTATTAATTTTTGCTCTGTAACAATAAATACATTCAGCATTTTTTGTGGATGAGTTTTAATTTATATTAATAGGATCCACTTGGATTATATACCAATAGATTTATTATCTTTTATTTATATATATATATATATATAATGTGTGTATGTGTGTGGTACTTATTGGAAAGCACTCAATATCAGTGATAGAGCTAACATACTTAGTTGTATGGATGTGAGTTTGTAACCCTGTTTCACACTTTTGTGATCCTCAGATAAACTCAGTTTGTCTGAGGATTGCAAAAGTGTGAAACCTAGGCTTACAAAGTCATATCCTTAGAATTTATATATATATATATATATATATATATATATATATATATATATATATATATATATATATATTTTCAAAAACATCACTCACTTACATTATTTGGACTATTGTCCTCATCTTTTGTCGCCATATTTATCACAACATTTCGGCCATTGTACACTCCAGGTTTCTTCAGGTGGTTCGAATGTCGAACTGAACCCTTTATTTCGCTCATGTGGAACTAGAACAGTCTACTCCAGTAAGCGAAATAAAGGGTTCAGTTTGACACTTCAACCTCCTGAAGAAGGTCGGGGCGTACAATGGTTGAAACGTTATATGGCAACAAAGATGAGGAGAATAGTCCGAATAATGTACATAATGCCTCATCTCAGAAATATAGACAGATTACTTACTTACTTCCGTTTATTAGACATTGAATTGTCATTTTCACCATATCTTGCTGACTTTTCAGCTAACCTAGTGAATGAATATTTATGACCGTTCCTAAATATGAATGTGCAACAATTTATTTCAAAGAAGTTGTCACATATAAAATAATTAAAATTTCCTTATGTGGAAAAATATAATAAAAAAAATGAAACCGTCAGACCTTGTCAGTTGAATTTAATACAACTTGTTGAAGGGAATTCATGAAATGCCTTGCCATTTTTTATTCTTACAAGAATAATCTACTTGATAATAATTATCGTTTGTGCATTTATTTATATCTTTCATGTTATGCCCTATAGTGAGAAGGGAGGTAAATCAACTTAAGGTAGTAAATTTATCAGTGACTACTTCCCTTAGTCATCGTAATCTAAATATTTATCTGCATTTAGACAAGATTACTTTTCCAAGCCAAAGGAACCATTTAATTAATCTGTTCTTTTATTCCTATGTTTCTTAATTGTTCAAGCCTTTCATGTCAGGCACTCGGATACCTTTGTCTATTAAGTGATTGTCTTGCTTTAACTTGGTCTTGAGATAGGCAACAGAATGACTAAGACAGCAATGGCAAAGACTATCTTCTTTTTCTTTTGAGAGGTGTTTCATTTCAAGTTACTGTTATATTAAAGATAATATTTTTAACATGAAAAGATATTGAGCAAAAAGCGATTTATATAATGCCAAAAGTAATCAGTAAATCACAGATGCCATTAAACATCTAAGAAATATAAAGGGAACAGATTAATTAAACAGTTCATTGGCTTCTATTTTAGTTGTGAATTCTTTATTTCCACTTTATTGAATCTCAATACATTGTTTCATTGTAATCCAAACATCTTTACAGTGTGCCGGGAAGCTTCATCATTTCAACATTGAAACTTTCTAATAATTACTGCCATTTTTTGACAGCACTAATCTTTGTATATCACATTAAAACACTAGCTCCCGTACGATCACTGAAGTCTAGTGATGTCAAGCCTGGTCAGTACGTAGATGGGTGACTACTTGAGAATACCAGGTGCTGTAAGCATGGATTTGCAGTTGACGTCATGGATAATAGCCTGGAATTGTTAATTGGAGAGCTGAGTTCCCATTCCTTTTGGGCTCATTGAATTTATTTATGTGCAAATACACTTGGGAAAGATATGAATCCACCTTTTCTCATCCCCCACTATGGGTTAATTAGTAAGATTTGTATCATTAAAACTGTTATCCCCCCCCTCCAAATCTTACAATCTAAAAATATTTTGTGATTTTAAATAACCTGCAAAGAGTTGATAAGCTGTAGTCAATGAACAAATCAATCAATATTGCCAGCCTGTATGGCACAAGAACAGGGCATCCAGAGACATTCAAATTCACTACAGTTGGAATTGACTGCTTCTTAACCATTACTCTGTTCCTCACATTTATCTGGTTTGGTCTGGCACAAGGTCACTGGAGGAGGGCACCCAGTAAAGTTTGAATTAAGAGCATTCGAGTTTGTGAGGCATATGAAATTTTCATTTTTTGAATTTTTTTTATTCGCCACTTTTTTTACAATGTAAAAACGGTTCAAATTCAAATTTTTCTTCCCCCCCCCCTTTCATAAATAGCCCCTTCCTGGCCTCTTTCTTTTTCTAATTATGAGGATACAATCATTGTTAGTTTTTTTTTGGTTTTTTTTTTTTTTTTTTTTTTTGTAACTTTTACAATCACCCAACTGATTCTGAAGACAAAAGGATGTTTCATTTACTGCTTATTTTTGGTCTGAAAGCAAATGCGGTTTTATATGCAACCCACATAATTGTTGACTTGCTAGCTCAAAAGAATGTTCTGATGGCTACTTAAAACTGCTTGATTTTTCTTCTCTTCTCAGGTTGTTATTGTGCCTTGTGGTATCTCGGTGAACTTGGACCAGCAAAGCCGCTCCCAACTGATGGCTGCCTGTGAAAAAATGAATGCCAGCTTCAATGAAGCCGGCATTCGATCCAAAGCTGATCTGCGAGATAATTATTCCCCTGGATGGAAGTTCAATCACTGGGAACTGAAGGTATTCAATGACCCTGCGCCCCCCCCCTGCTTTTATTTTCTTCCTTTTTTTTTCTGTTTGAAACTAAATACATCATCAAATTGTATCTCACACACAAAAAAAGGATTCTTTACAATGTTCAAATATGAATTCTACATTCGTAGCACTACATGGTGGCAGTGTTAAAAGTATGAATAATTCCCTGAATAACATTCGTTATTTGTCAGAAGGCTCCTGTCGAGAAACATTTGGCCCCAAATCCAAATATTATTTTGTTTTGAAATTCAATAGTGGGGGATGTACATTTCTGAAAGCTCCTGCCTAGAAACATTTTCACTAAAGAACATAGCAAATAGTGGGGGTGGGTTGGAAAAGTAGGTATTCAGTAAGTATTATACCAGTATTACTAGTACACTATTTACATTAATCAGACTATTGTCCTCATCTTTGTTACCATATTTATTACAATGTTTCGGCTGTTGTATGCTCCGGCCTTCTTCAGGTGGTTGAAATGTCAAACTGAACCCTTTATTTCGCTCACTGGGGTAGACTGTTCTAGTTCCACATGCCATGTTTTAATGAATGTCAGTTATCAGTTATCTCCTGTTAATTCCCCTCTCCAAATTCTCCACCATGTTAAGTGGGTATTGAACTCACACTCTTTGAGTCCTGTAACTGGATCTAACCAACGCTTTTATCCGTCTATTCGTACAACAGCCGAAACGTTGTAATAAATATGGCAAGGAAGATGAGGACAATAGTCCGAATAATGTAAATAGTGTACGTAATACCTCATCTCAGAAATATAAACAGAGTATTACTAGTATTTTAATAGTGGTACTTGGATTCATTAAAATAATTTATTATTATGTATGTTTATTATTGAAATGCTTGTATAAGCAATACATTTTGTGTGCACAATTTTTTTTTTCATTACTGTATACTCAGTTTTGTATTTCCCTGTGTATGTATGTATGTATATATATATATATATATATATGCATGCACACACACACACACAAGCACAGGGTGAGTACAGATGAAATAAAATTCCAACAACCAAAAACACTATTCTTAAAAGAGTGTTCAATACAAAGTAGAACAAATAATATTTATTCAAAATTATAAGATATGCATGTTATAACATCACTACAAAAATTGCAATTTTATTTCAACACTTCTGGTGTCTTATCAAGTGATGGTGTTGATTGCAAAATAAATGGTTTTTAAAACCCTTTATTTTACAATCAACACCATTACTTGATTTCAGTAGTGTTGAAACAAAATTGCAATTTTTGTAGTGATGTTATAACATGCATATCTTATATATATATTTATTCATTCATTATATATATATATATATATATATATATATATATATATATATATATATATATATATGCACACTAAAAGTTTGGAGCTGCCTCTGGATTTCAAAGAATCACTTAAAAAATGATGGTTCTATGTCTTTTTTGAAAACTAATTTATGAGCTCACTTCAGTCCTACTGAAAGTTTTATCATATATTCAATAATAAATAATAATAAATCATATATTCAATAATAAATAATAATAAATCATATATTCAATAATAAATAATAATAAATCATATATTCAATAATAAATAATAATAAATCATATATTCAATAATAAATAATAATAAATCATATATTCAATAATAATAATAATAACAATCCATGAACTGCATAAAGTTTAAGCACTTTTTTTTCTAATCTGCCTTGCTGGCTAATGGTAATTTTAGGACTGGTAAAGTTTAAATTTTACGTACCCCCCACCCCTTACTTTCTAAAAATTGAACACCCTGCACTAATGTGTTAAATAGTTCCAACTTCGTCAGTTAGTAGGAATTAATTAAACCAAACTTTGTAATTATTAAATCCAGAGTGTTGCCTGTCCCCCCCCCAAAAAAAAACAACTTTTGGCCAATATTGTATGTTGTTGCTACTGTTTGTCAATATCTCCAATTCTTTTAGGGTGTTCCGGTGCGAATTGAAATTGGTCCCCGTGATCTGAAACAGAATCAGTTTATTGCTGTAAGACGAGACACCGGAGAGAAGGTGACAATGAAAAGTGATAACTCTGTCAAGCAAATTCAAGATCTGTTTAATCTCATTCAACAAAACTTATTTGACAGGTAAACTTTTCTTTTTTGCACTCATTGGTTGTAAACACTAATCGTTTTTTTTTTTTTTTTTTTTTTTCTTGTATTAAAAATGGCTTTTTATGTTATACATAATCAGTCTGTTTTTACCTTCAACTTCACTTTTTACATTTATAAAATATTTTCTGCCTGTTTATGTGCACTTGTACATAAACAGGCAGAAGCATTATCAATTTTTTTTTTTTTTTATCTCACAAATTTCTTTCATCTGCCCTATTATATCTACATATATGTCCCTTATATATATATATATATATATATATAATATTAGTGGTAAATATACATACATATGAAAAATATATAAATACCCATAATTCCAAGAGGAAGAATCCAGGTAGAACGCATAAAGATAGATGTTAGAGTAAGAGGGAGGAAAAGACGAGACTCTCACATTAGATTGTCTATGGTGTGTGTATGTCACTACGAAATGTATCTTTATGCATTAGACATCCGTCATCATTCATTTTTCTCTTACTTAAACCTCTTCCACCCACCTCTCCTAAAATTCTCTCTGTTAAGGTTTAATCACCCTCCTCCTCATACTTACACTCTCTCTAAATTCTGTTTTTATTTCTGGAGTTGTTTTTTCTGTTTTCTTTTTGAATTTGTAGGTCTGATGAATTGGATTGTATTTACAATTCCAATGGAATAAATTATGACCATGGAATATTAGTGTTTAAGCCTTTTTATTTTATATATATATATATATATCACTCCATATCCGTTTTTTTTTTTTTTTTTCCCCCCTCAGGGAAAGGCCCGTTGTATGTTTAATTACACATTCTGTTCCCTTGTAATGTCACTGTGAAGAAGAAAATGTGAATCCTGTTTTCAATATATGATTATCCATTCACTAGCCGAATTACGAGTTGTATCTATCACATTGCCTCTTCTTTTTACTCTCAAGTGACTGCTACCAATGCAATTGGTTCGATGGATAGCTCCTCTCACATTCCATTCTAACCAGGGTTCCACTTATATAAACTTGTGAATGGAAATTTGTAACTTCTAACCAAGTAGCACTTTACACCAAAATTTATCGTTTATTTATTATTTTATTCTCTTTTGGTCAAGTGGGTTGCCTGCTTTGAAGACCTTACTTTGCAGATTATACAACTGCTCATAAAAACATACCAAAAATGTAGATAAAATCATTTAGGGCCCCATTTGCTTTTTTGTATGTACTCAGCCAGTCTTACGATTCAAATCATTGTGTCACTTTTTTCTTTTTTAATTCTTCTTGAGAAAGGACACGTGTGTGCAAACATCTTTCTCATCATGCTTCCATTTGCTCAAAAGGCTGACTAAGACAAAATAAGCATTATCAATTTTGTTTTTTTTTATCTCTCAAATTTCTTTCATCTGCCCTATTATATCTACATATATGTCCCTTATATATATATATATATATAAAATAGTGCAGTTTAGTTAATATTGTAAAGAGGTAGTGATACAAAGAATAAATCAGTAAAGTTAATGTAATTAATGGCAAAATCACTTTGCTAACAGATTAAATAAGGCATTAACTCACTAACCATTCATTGAACATGATCCTTGTTTTTAAAAGCTGTAAAATAGATTAGATGTTCAGTCGATATTGCAAGTACATTCGATAACACTTGTATCATCTTCAGGTATGGATGTTATATCTCAATTTCAGGTAAAATTCCATGATGAAAATAAATGTTACTGGTCATAAGATGTTTTTTGTTAAAAAGTGTGTTATTATTAAGTTACAAAATTAGGAGTGTGCAAAGTTGTGACACTAGGTTTTTTATTTTTGAATATTGTAAATGAGAATGAATATAGTACAGTTATTTAATCTGTTAGCAAAAT